AGTAACAATATGACTTAGGAGGATAGCTCCCACTCCTCCGCTGAGTAACAGTATGACTTAGGGGGATAGCTCCCACCCCTACGCTGAGTAACAATATGACTTAGGAGGATAGCTCCCACTCCTCCGCTGAGTAACAGTATGACTTAGGGGGATAGCTCCCACTCCTCCGCTGAGTAACAATATGACTTAGGGGGATAGCTCCCACTCCTCTGCTGAGTAACAGTATGACTTAGGGGGATAGCTCCCACCCCTTTTCATTTAAAATAAGGAGACCCTGGCTGGAAATAAGCTCTGAGGCACCAAAGACAGGAAGACGTAGTGGAAACGCGAGCTTACTTGGGCAGAGACTCAAGTTCGAAAAAGCCATCGCTGGTGATACCAAGGTTTGCTCCTGTATATATATATATAAAAAAAAAAAACTTACAGTAAGGGATTCAGTGACAATGTGTTTGTTAAACCTGTTTTAGGACAACAAATGTCAGTTCAAAAGTACTCATTCAATAGCTGCCCTGATGAGTAAGAGATGGGAACTTGATGGGAGATTGAACTAGAGTTCTCACCTGGGACCTCGCTGTCACTGACGATTGAAGGGCGCCCCCCAGTGGCAATAAGAATGTGAGGCGCTGTGTAACGTTTCCCATTCACCATTACTGTGGGCTCGGCGTCATTGGTGAACACCGCGTGGCCATGGATGCTCTCTATCTTAGCCTGCAGGACACCAGTACATTTTTACTGAGCACAATAATAAAACCCTTTATAGAATAACCTGCAACATGATCTGGTAAAAACATTATCTACTGTGCCTCTGTGTGGACCTCACCTCCTTTTCTCATTATGGTTTAATTACACCTAAAGGAATATTAATTAATGCTACAACAGTTTCTGCTTACAAATTACTGTTAAAAGACAGACATAACAGATTTCAGTTTTTACTATTTTCCAGCTCTCAATTAACTAAAAAGCTCAGGTCTGAAACAGGTAACTCTAAATTAATTGCATTGGAACAATTAATATAATTAAATGCTTAAACTGAATGAAAAACTCAGTAAATGGAATTCCAAACAGAGTTGGAAATCGTTGGTTTAATACGTTTCAGTACTATAATTCAGTTTTAGCTCAACTGTTACAGGTTAATATACAACTTCATATGCTCCTAATGTCTGGTAAATCATCATTCTCAATGGCAAAATCAAATGTAATACTGTCTATATGAGGGACGAGACGGTAGCTTAGAGCAGTGTTTCCCAACCCAGTCCTTCGGGAATACTGGACAGTCCATGTTTTTGCTTCCTCTCAGCTCCCAGCACACCTGTATCAGGTATTCGGAGTTCCTGATTGGCTGGGAGCTGGGAGGGAGCAAACACGTGGACAGTCAAGGGTTATGCACTCGTTTCTATAAAGGTCTTCAATCTATTTCCTTCTGTTTTGGTCATCTTATCCATATTGAATAATCTGCATTGTTTCTTTCTCCTACAAATAAGAAATCTATGGGCCATAACCTTACAAACCTCAAAAGTTCTT